AAAGAACATTTGCACTATTCCACCAGTGTCTGGGGGCTTTATTTGGGCTTTCATCGGTGCCTGGCATGGTGCTAGCAGCATTGTGCAGGGAAACAACGGACCTAGAACCTGACCTGTAACGTTTGGTCTGGAGCTAGAAGCAGACCGCGTGGTCTTTCATTGCCTTTTGCTATAAGAAGCTTTTTTGGTCCAAAAACAGGGCTCTTGTACAGTTATTTGACCTATTTGAACATCCGTATTCTGAAAATTGTGTGCTGTGGAAAAATGACAGTTGCAAAAACATGTAATGAGGATCATAGGAAGGATTAAGCAGTCTTTTGCGTATGCTGGCTATCTTGGCTACAGAAAGGAATTGTGGGCGGGTACTGTCGTTGTCTGTGGTGTGGAAACACAATACAATATGTAAGTCTTTGATAGCGGTTGCAATGGTTTGTCCTATTTGTCCGTGTACCACAGTGCACAGCTGGTTTGTGTTTAACTGTTGATTTTAAAGATGTCAGCTCTGTTGACTTTGTCATTGTCTTTGTGAATTATGGATACTTGGATCAAGTCTTCTGTGTTCAAGTCTAAAATGGTTCAGTTCCTTTAGCTTGAAATTCCTTTAATCTTCCTTTAAGCCTAGAAACATACAGTGCCTTGCAAAAATATCGAATCCCTGTAAGTTTTCAAATGTTGCTGGATTACAAAAGTTGCTTGCACATCTTATTCCTTTCGGCATTTTTAGTACAAACTCACAAGCTCAGACAGGTGTTTTTTAACGACAAACTTAGTTATTTGTCAGTAGATATTCTAAAGTCAAAAACTGAAATATGCTGCTAGTACAAGTATTCGGACCCCACACATTCATATTTGGCAGAAACACCATTTGCCACAGTAACAATAGCAGTAGTCACAGTAGCTTTAAGTCTTTTGTGGTAGGTTTCGGTGCCAGCTCGGTACACTGGTTTGGAGCGATGTTCACCCAATCGTCTTGGCAGATTCACTCCAGCTCTTTTTTTGTTTCTTGGACAGTGCTTGTGATCCATTTTTCCACGTGTGCCACAGAGCACACTGGAGTTGAGGTCAGGATTTTTTACTGGGTCTCTCCTTTTTTACTCTTGAGCCGCTCCAGTGTTGCTTAGGATCCTTGTTCTGCTGGAAGGTGAATATTCTCCTAAGCCTAAGTTTTTTTTTTTTTAGCAGACTGGAACAAGTTCCGTTGCAGTATGTCCTTGTGCCCGCTCCATCTATGTTTCCTTCAATTCTACCAAGATTCCTCGTCTCCTCCCTAATAAGAAGCATACCCATAGCATGATGCAGCCACTGCAGACATAGTGTTTCTCAGGGCATAGGTAATGTTAGATTTGTGGCACACACAGCGCTTTGAATTTTGGCCAGAATGCTCTATCTTGGTCTCATCTGACCACAAACCCTTTTCCAAATCTTAGCTGTATCACTCTTATGCTATCTGGCAAACTCCAGATGGGCTTTTAGAGGATTGTTTTTGAGTAACGACTTCCTTTATTGCTACCCTCTTGAACAAGCCAATGTTATGCAGAGCCCTTGATATAGTTGATTGTTGCTCCTTTACTTCACTTTCAGCAACTGAACTCTGTAGGTTTTTCATAGTGATTGTTGGCCTCCAGTGTTCCAATGGTAGGTTTTGGGGAATGGCCTCTTGATTATTGAGCTGGGATATCCATACACTGATAATTTTTGTACCCTGTTCCTAATCTACAGTATGTGTATTTATCACGTTAACTCGAACTTCTTCAGATTGCTCTTTAGTCCTCAATGTCTGACCAATGTTCCCTAAACAGACAGGGTTTTTTACCAGAAAATGTAACAGTCACTTCAGTGGTGTACAGGACAGTGGTAAGGCAGTTATATTCTCATTAGAGTAATTTCTTTCACCTGTGTAAATTTAGAGCTACTAAAGCACAGGGGTCTAAGTACTAGTGCCAGCAGTATATTTCAAGTTTTGACCTTCTTTTAGATATCTAATGATAAATAACTAATTTTGTAGTTCTTGTTTCCTGGGTTGACTCCAGAGCAGCAAAATCTTTTTTGCTTGTGGAGACCATAGTGTTCTTATTAAGGTCTTACTCGTGCATAATACAATTTAAATATTAAAGCTCTTGATTTCAGTCCTGTGTGTCTACCTCTATGCACAAATTTTTTGTCTGGATTGTTCACCTTTTCCCCTGTGTTGTCTAGAATAGTGGCAAAAACTATTTTTGCTGTGTACTCCAGATCTATCAACACTGAGTGTCCCTTTATCAACGGTTTTGTATCTGAGCATGTTCCATGCCTACAGAATTTGTCAATGGTTTTGTCATCATAATTACACATAAAGATGCCAATAATAAAGACATCTCTATTAATCTGATGGGTGAGCCTTTTTCTTGATGCATAGACCTCAGTGACTCTTTGATTTCATCCCTATGAGTGCAGAAAATCCAGAAAATCTGGCTCGGGAACACCTCAGTTTTTTTTCTCGCCAGAGTCAGTACCAGCGCCCCTTATCTGTACTCCTTGCAATTAATTAACTAGTCCTAAATCCAAAAACGTGCATTTTCCTGAATGCATACTGCCTGAAATTGGAGAATTTATCTTTTAGGAGACCCCATATCAAATGCCTTTTGCAAATCTAAATACCTCATATTGTATTCTGTGTGTCCATTATTGTTGTTGCTTGTTCAGAGAACTCGAAGAAAATTGGTTAGACGAGATCTGCTATTTCTAAACCCTAATTGACTGTCCCCTGGTATCTTATTTACTTATAGTAGGGGATTTTTGCTGGAGTTTTAGCAGTTGTTTATATAATGGTACGTGTAGTAGGAGCTGGAGGGAAATGTAAGAGAACCTGCGACTGGAGGGCTGGTGTTCATCTGTTCAGCTGCATTTGTTCTATGACTGGGCTGTGTTGTATCGGGGAGCAGTTGTATGAAAATGCTTTGCACATCTGCTGCCTGTGTGCTACACTCGTGGTGCTATGGAGAGAAATGTGTACATTCAGCAGTTTCACCTTGAACGACCTTGCATTTTTCTGCACTTGCAATAATATTTCATTTCCACTTTCTAGAGGTGAATAAAATCATGATTGACTTCTACTTTTACTTCTGGGCTGCTGCTCAACATTAATGCTCTTTAGATGTGAAATGGGCTGAAAATCCTGTTGTGTCTGACATAAAGTTTAATTTTTGTTTTGTGTGGGCAGTGTTTTAGTGCTGCCTGTCATTGTAAATTTTCAGCATGAACCGGATTGTTTTTCTGACAGAAAAGTGGGAAGCCAAAGCTTATTGACAGCGGTGTTACCTTTTTGATTTAATCAGATTTCAGAAGATAGGCCAGGCCTGGTCTTGGGGCTTGGGCAATTTTCCAGTTTCCTGGAAAACTGGGATGGGCAAACCTTCAAGATAAACCAGGTGGATGCTGCAAGTGGTGATGGTCGACCAGTAGGTGGCACTGTTTCCCCTGAACCTGAATTTCCAAATGAATACCACAGCATGGTGACTTGAGATGTACAAAAAAAATCTAATGACCTCTAAAGTTATTTAAATGAAAATAAAAAAGAACATAAAAGGAAAAGTTATAAAAATGATCAGTAATGGCTCAGTAATTCCTGTAATGAGCAATGTCAAAACAAGGCTGTTGAATTGCTTGTATTATGTAATCACAATAGGTTTTTCCATCATTCCAGTCACGCATTTACCAGCAATCTGTGGTTTTTCTTTCACCCAGATGTAATGTCCACTCTACTGATGCCTCAGTAAAAGTGTGCATGCTAATAATACAGTAGGATCTCAGCATTAATTTAACATTTAAAATACAATTGTTTGCAATTCTGTCTGACTGGTGGGCTCATGAATGATAGAAGAGCAATGCAGGATGAAACTGAGCTGAAGGCTGTTACCTGCAGCTTTCAAGTTTAGCAGCGCAGCAGACTAGAATCGTGACATAAATCTAGATAATGAGTGAGTCTCCCCCTGCCCACTATCCAAATATGTACTCCCCAGCACCCGCATCTCAGAGTGGTCTTGTTTTTATATTCCAAGGAGTACTCCGGGTCCTGTGTGGGCTGTGTGGGGAATGACAGGCTGGAGACGACTTTACAGGCTCACTGACAGTTTCATTGCCCGTTTCATTACAGTGGGGCTAATCATGGAGGCAGAGAGAGAAAGTGCGGGCTGGATACAGAGGAGGGATTCATCTTATTCTAACTGATTATTTAAGTTTGGGATCACTGTTGTTTCTTTTCAGTATTATTTTAATTATTATAATGCTAATGCATTAGTACCTTAATTATGATAATAATAGTGTAATAATGATAATGTTGCTTTATTAGCCCTATACAATCTCTTGCATTAGGAATTCATCTTTTAGCAGACCCCAGCTTGCTCACCATGAGACACAGACAGGGAGAGAGAAGCTTGGGGTCAGAGTGCAGGGTTAGCCATTGAACAGTGCCCAGCAGTTGGGTTTAAGGGCCTTGCTCAGGGGCCCAACGGAGCAGGATTCCTCTGCCGGCTGTGGGATTTGAACCGGCAACCTTCCGGTCAAAGGCACAGATCATTAGCCACAGAGCCACCGCTCCGCCCCATAATTATCATTATCAGGGAAGATTGTTTATGCTTTTTAACAATACATACTATTTACTATAGAATACTATGTGTCAGTATAGGTGTGGACTTTGTTGTATGCATATTTGGCTAGGATTGCTTATGTTTTTTAACCATATGTACTATTTACCGTAGTATACTATGCATTGGCATACTGTAGGTGTGGACTTCGTTATATGCAAATTTGGCTATTTGTAATGGTTCTCTGTACCGAACTCTTGCGAATGTCCAGACCCTACTGTACAGTGCTTGAGTTCATGTATTTTATTGCTCAATCCTGAACACTCTTCCTTTATAACTTGGCCATCTTGTGCAACACGGAAGCTGAATGTTGCAAAGTATTGCACATGCAGTAGATCGTGACATTGATGGCAACATTGTGATCTCTTGTCTTCTCAGGCTTGCACTGGCATTGACAACATTGCAGAAGCCATTGCCCTCCTGGAGCTGAATAACTGGGATTTAGTGGTAAGTTAACCTCCCCCGTTGTGCCTCCCACAAGAAAAGAGGAAAAAAACATAACGCCCGCCACAAAATAATCTTTGAACCATCCAAAAACAATATCAGAACCTACCAACAATGTTTTGGTGTTTAGAAGGAGTCCCATTATGTGTTGAAACAGAGCCACTAATACCCAAGATGTTTTAATGCGACTGAAGCTCTGAATGAAGCTTTTGCACTGGTGCTCTAAAACTGTGGTTTAATGTGTGTTACTCAGTAACGAATAGGAATGCACTGTATGGGAATATTTGGACTGTGTTCAATTGCTCTCATAGAACAGGATAACAATGAAATAGCTGTCATAGTTCCCTCTATTAATGGCTGCACTTGAAGAGTCTTTTCAGTAAAACGTAGCTTCCGAAGCACATTGACTCTATCTTAATACAAGATTTATGCTAATTGTTGTAGTTAAAAATAGAGAGCTGTGCGCTCAGAATGCTATGTGAACTTCTCCCAGATAGGCAGTGGGTTGAGTCTGAAGTGTGAAAGGAAGGAATGTATATGGCTCACATGAACACAGATGCTGCATGTTGTGTGCTAGGTTATTATAGTTATCAGTTCCTAAGGCACACCTCTAGTGTAATGTGATGACATGAATGAATATGTTCTGTTTGGGTAAAAATGTAAAGTCTTTTGCAGACTCCTTGAACCGCTTTTGAAGAAATCTGTGAATACTGTGCTGCTTCACAAAATTATCTAGGCTTGCATGTTTTTCCACAAAATCAGTTATGTGATGGAACAATACTCTTAAAAAGAAGATTTTAAAATAGAGCTTGGGGGTGCAAACGTTCATATGTTCCTCCCCCATATTTCCTGTTAAAACAGGGGATCTTTATTTAACTCGACATCAAATAGCATTGCAGGAGCCTGTGCCTAAGACCAGTTTTTGGAGTGTTTCTGAAGACTTAACAGTTGCTTCTTATGGTTTGATTTTTGTTAATGCAGAAAAAATTGCAGGCAAATTTGTTATTCTGAGTAAATATATAATAGTAGAAAGATGACTGTTAGCCTGGTGTGATATTTTGGTGTATCATTATTCAAAGGTCTTTTTGATAACAATGATAAGAACTGAATAATCGAACATCAAGTAGTTTGCAAAATCCCTGCAGGACCAGTTTTTGCTTTCTCCTGGTGTTTATGGTGGCAGATTCTGTGAGTGGTAAGTGGTTTCTGGGGCAAGTTGGGTGTGGTTTTGGAAGGGAATCTCACACGTGCTTACTCCAATCTTGTTTTGCCTCACTTAGCCTCTGTCCTAAAATAGAGGAAGATATAAATTGTGCCAAGTGTGTTAAATGCATTGCACTGTTAGTACAGAAGGTACCTAGTAAAATGGGCATTGACAAATGACATTGTGTATATTAAGCACTGGCAAGACATGCAACATGTTTATCCACAGTTGACCAATGAAGTGTTAGGTGCAAGCAACTGTAGTACAAACCCATCTCTCACAGATCAGTACTGTACAGATAAATCACTTGCTTTGCCTACTGCCTTTACCACTAAGGGTTTTGATTGGGGATCTATGCTCTTAGAATGAAACTATGATGATTTGTGCTTTAGTACTGTAGGCAAATTTCTACAGTTTCTACAAATATTAAATCATATTTTGAGATTGCTCATTTGAGGCGTTCAGTTTGAATTTCTTGTAGCGCACATATTTTCACCCAATATGAGGTTTCAACACCAGGGGACAACAGAAGAAAGATCTTGTTAAGAGGTGGGAGCTATGACAATATGCACCATGTATTGTGACATAAGCAGAAACTGCTTTGAAAATAGGCTGCTTTCAATATATTCTTACATATTTTAAATATCTCCAATTACACCACTATATTCTCTTTATTTATATTTCAGTTATTGCTTTTGTTGTGCTAATATAGTTTATTAACAATGAGAACAACATTTATAAGAAATAAAATGTTCAACTGGAAGCTAGTGTGCTGAAATAAAGGAAAATATTTTTTTATAGTGTTCTTTCCTCCCATCATCCTAGTCTTTGCTGTAGAATGCTTTTGCTCCAATAGATAAATATATATATACTGTAGACTTTCGTAACGCCTGCTCAGCTTTCCTCTACAGTCATTGATTTTCCTGGTCTTGGAATACTGAAAGAATTGTAGACTTTGAGATATACTTCCCACCCAAGTTCACGGTGATCAAAATAATAAGATTATAATTTCTATTGTATATCACCTGTCACATCTGAACTGCAGTAATGTTTTTTTATCACCCACCTCTGTCTTATCAAATAGAAGGTCTGACAAGCTGTTTAGTCAAAATCATTTGACAAGAGTCAAACACGGATATAACATGAAACATACAGTAATGTAAAAAATGTTTTTCATTTTTTGTTTTATAAAACGTGTGTCATAGAATTACATTAGTTATTTTGCCTTAGCACTTGGCAGCTATCAGCTGTACTAATTGGTTTGTGTTCACGTTTCATCCATAAACAAAGTACAGCTGGGAGTTAACTGCTTACATGTGCAGTAAAAGGTAATAGCCATTTTTTGTCTGCACTGGAGGAGTCAGGTGTAATATAACAAAGTGAGGGTTCTGTTAGAAACAGAAAGCTCTAATAAGTTATACAGTACACATTGGTGCAGTGTCCCATAGTTGCTGTAATCTTGTCACCTTGTGACAATTTTATTACCGTTTTTTGTCGTTCTGTGTGACAGAGGTTCTCGCAACCAAACCCGTACAGATAACTGATGGCACAGCTGTGTGTGGTTGTGCGAGAGTGGTAGCTGTGCTAAGGAGGCTGTATTACTCTTGCGAAACCAATGAAAGAGCATTTAAAATGAAACCCTCAAGCTCGATCCTCCACCAGACTCCACTTTACTGTGATCTCCTGAATGTACACATGAGCACATAATGATGTACTGATGTTTAATATTTCAATTATTTTAATGAATGAGGTTTATTATTTTAATAAACTAATTTTGTTGCTGAATAATAATGGACAGAAATGCATGCTTTGCAGTGACCGTAAGGATACACTCAGCGTGGTCTGTGACCTGTACTACCACAACTTTTCCTGTATGTATACCAAGCTCAAAATGAGCCTTAGAATTCACTATGAAGAGCCGGTGTTGGTTGGGGAAAATCACATTTACACGTAGTATCCAAACCCTTTTTGCAGCCCGGCACAGTCTGCTTCACATCTGGACCAAATTGGAGTTTGTAATTGAAAAGAAAACACAGCTTGTCGTGACAAAATGCGGCGCAGCTCGAAGCGCGAGGTTACACGAAAGACTGGCTTGTTGACGATTCCGCAGCTGTCGGTTTATTTCTCCCAAACGGGGGGGAGACGGGACCCTTACAAAGCGGCGTGTTCTTTCTGACAGAAGGTACGAGATGTCAGTGTGTGGGGGAACAGGGCATTGCTGAAATTACACTTTTTTTTTTACAAAGTAACTCTTTATCTCGAAAGGCTTCTATATTTAGCTGCCAGCAGTTCTCCTGCTGGCAGGGTTTCAAAGCAAGCAGTGCAGTAGAAGCAGTGGTTAGGCGCACCTGTAAATGTGATGACTTGCAGTTCCTTTGCGGTGCCGTTAGGTTGAGCACGTTAACAAAAAGTACTCTGTATGGGGACAGGACAGCTAACAAGTGCTCAGGGAGGGCCCCTACCCTCCGAACCACCTGCAGGTTTAAGATTTCGGGCAGGTTGGGTTGGAGGTGGTGTGGGGGACAAAACAAAAACCCCAACAGAACAACAAGATTGTGCTTGTCAAAGCTGTTTTTTTTGCAGGTGTGATACATTTTTAGTTTTATTGATTTTAGGAATTGGTCTGCTAAACAGGGTGCTGGTGGCATGGTGCAGTAATGCCCAGATTGCCCCAGAAACATTCCAGCTGAGCTCTGGAACTGCTGGCATGAACCTCCCCTCTAAGAAAGCAAACATCGCTTTGAACAGACCTTCAGTGCCTCTGCTCCTTCCTAACCTTTTCTTCTTTAATTTCTGAACCCTGTCTCCTTTACATTCTTCAGATGTTAACAGATTTCTTTTTTACAGTATATAGCCATTGACCGACTCCAGACACTTTCTGCTGTGTTGGTCTGACTTGCACCGTCCCTGAGTGAGGTTGGCGTTGAGTTTAGTAGAAGCATTTCTCAGTTAAACATTTGAAAAGCTTAGAAAACCTGTCTGGTGTGTGTGAAGGTGCACACAATGCTCTGAAGGATGGGTCATGCCAGGGTCAATAAATAGCTTGAGTGTTTCCAAGAAAGTGGGTGTTCCAGTTTCTTGGTGTAGGCAGGGTGGAGTGGGCACCCTAAGGAGCAACCTGGGTTTCGATATTTCTCACAAATGCAAAGGCTTTGACCATGCTAACCTGTTTGTGGTCTGCTGAGCTGTCGTGCATCAGATATCTACAGCTCTGCTCAAAGGCTGTATGATTGCTTACAAAGACATGAGGTTACAATAACATTTCTCAGAACTGAAGGGTTATTATTAGGCGTCTTTCAATTGAGGAGACTTGTTGGAAGTATCTGTAGTAGATTTGACAGATATGTTTTACGTTGACAATGTAAAAACAACTAGTTTAACAACTAGTTGGTAAAGATCAGTGAGGAGCTGTGTCAGCATGTGCCGACTGCAATGGAACCTGAAGAATTCTCAACAGCCAAAAACATTTTCTTCTTTTGGCTTTTCAGTGAGGAATTAACCTTTACTTGTTCCAGAATAGTTTCCATTTAATGGGCTCATTTTATTCAAAGTAAAGTTAACTAGTACCATTCCACTATAATTAGGTCTTTTAATAATGTGGTCTTTAGCAGTCATTTTCCAGAATATTTTGAAAATCAGTATGCTTCCATTTAAGCAAGATCTGCATCATTCTGTGAATTTCCTTTTCCAGTTTCCATGTTTATTTAAATGGGTCCATTAGCCTTTTTTTAAGTTGTGCAGTGAGATATCTCCCTTCGCCTAATCGAAGAGAGAAAATTCAGAATGGCCATACCTTTTTCTTATGAGTAAGAGTTGAGTTGTAATTTAACATTTTCTCAAAACACAGTGGCAGAATGATGTGGTTGTTGGGTAGGAGGAAGCATATTAAAAGATTCCAAGTGCACCTGCAGTCTGTGTGCTGGTCTTTTCAGTTATAAAGTTATTTTCGCTGCAGCTGAGATCTGTTCTGCTAACATTCTGGACCAAGATGCTTCGGCTTTTCTTTTGCCACATAAAGCAGTGCCTTGAGCAGTTTTCATTGGAGGAGTCTTCGAAGATCGTTAACCATGTCTTTTCGTCATTGTCTGGGCCCCAGTGCCCACACAAGCCTGCTTGGAATCCTTTAGATACATTCCTCATTGAAATAAATGAGTTGGGGAAAAAAAATACACAAATAGCCCACTGTGTTGAGTTCCACCCATTAATAACATCTATACTGTATTGTCCGCCTCTTGGAATAACCGTAATGTGAGTCAGCGAGGTTGATTTATTCTTCCATCATTGAAGTAAAGTGGTTTCCCAGCCGACAAGCAGGACAGAAAGGCGTTTCTGTTAGTTTGAGAGTTGTAACGTTATGCAAATAGTACCGTTAATTCCCGCCAAGTTATTACTGTCACAGGCCACAGAGAACAATGTGGCCACTGGGTTGCAGAAATGAAAATGTCAAGTGAACTTTCAGCAGTGTGGCTGCTCAGACAGATCCTCTCGAGATTTCAGGTTTTTTTAGCGTAAGACCTAGGATCACGAGTGAAATGTCCCAGCATGAACACATGGACAGTACTAAAGCATGTCCAAAATCCTCCTCGTTCTGGCATGTTTCGAAAATTGCAATTGATTGATCAGCCGAGACCATAAACTGAACTTTCACCTGCAAAATCAATCTTTAGGGCTACTGGGGGCAGTTGTACTCTGGCTTACTGTGTTGTAACTTCAGTGAACACGTAGAGAATTTAATTTCCAGGAATACACTTTCAGCACCTTTCTCAACTTCAGTCAGAACAATGTGTCAATTCAACAAGCCAATGTCATCATATGTCTTGGATTGCATAAACATTTTATAAGTTTGACATGAAATGGCCCTATATACATAATGTACTAAAATCGCTTGATTTAAGATATTAGATGAAGTAATTATGGTTTTATTCCTTAGGCTTTGGTTGTGACATGAGTTTGGCATTTATACAGCTGTTTCTAGCGAGAAAGACTCAGGTGCATGTCAGTCAAGTCTGCATAAATGATCATTTCCTTATGGGCCCATTTTTAGCTTAAACAGAAGCTTGTTGCACATGGACATCTTGGATTTTCTTCTATTATATCTGTACACAAGCTAAAAGAACAGTAATGCTATTTGGAAGTAATTACTGCTGATGTGACTACTAAGTTTTGCTGGTCCACCGCTAGATTAAGATCTGACGATAGTGGCATGACAGCATGCTGCTTGGCTAGGATTGATGCAGCAAGTCTTGAGTCACACTTGTTACGTAGGGACAAGCATTACATGGTGAAAGATTAGGGGATTATGTTGACATTGCGTTGCTTTAGCTAAATGCAGTGCAGACTTTTCTAATTGTGGTCTTCATGGCACTGTGCAGGGTCGTTTCCTCCATCGGCAGCAGGCTGACTGCTAAATTTGGCATTAATTGGACCCTGAAAATTAATCTGACTGCACCAAAACTATAGTACTCCCTTACCCAGCCCTAAAGCAACCTTTGATGGTTCCCCTCAGACAGACACACTTCTGCATGGTCCTATGAGACGCAGAATCACTTTTCCTTTAGAAAACTCCATGCCTTTTGAGTTTCAGCTCTAGAAAGGTACACAAGTCTAAGGGTAGTGCAAAGAGGACACATAAGCAACAACATTTTCTGCATGCACGTTACAGCCTCTCATAATGGGAATCGGTTAATTGCTTTCATAAAAGTGATTTACTAAAACCTTCAAAAGTAACGAGGTACTGATGTAACAGGACTCAAAAGGCATGTTTCACAATTTGTTTTACCGATTTGTGTATTTTGCCATTGAAAAGATCATCTTGAATGTTATGGCTTTGTACTGAAATGATGTGCCTTTTAAACTTTTTAGCCTTTTTATACGTGCACCATTTATTGTTTTGAAAGACCATAGCAAAATGCTTCTTCACAGGATTTACTAGTCTAAACACTGATATTCATTGAATGTTTGAGCTGTGCTTGACCCATTGAATTCAAGTCCCTGCAATCTTGTTTTGGTGACAAAGTTTCTTCATCTCTGCATTGCCAACAAACCTGGTGTAATAAGATCTGCTTTCTTTTTTTCCTCCACAGGCAGCTATTAATGGAGTGATTCCACAAGAGAATGGCATCTTGCAAAGGTAATGATCAACTGTTAATGACCCTTTCTGTAGGTCTGATTGAACTGCTTGTTGAATAGTCGGGGATCTATGAAATTTTCAGGTGATTAAATATATGAGTCATCAACACTGCAGTCTAAACCCCATTAGAAACTGAAGCTGAGGATATGTAATCTTTACATAAGATAGTGTCTGCTTATTTCAGTCTGAAATTTAAGTTAATCAAGATGTTGTAATTCACATTTTCACAGCCCCATGAATAGGAAACCAAGTACAGTGTTATCTTTTTACTATCAGTTGCGGAAAAACTGAATGAGCTGTTTTTGATAATGATTTATTGAAGAAAATAATTTGACATCGTAACAGCTGTGATTGGTTTTACATTCATTAAGGTATGCTTACTTTCAGTGTGCATAAACTATAACTGCAAGCCTGGGTGTTTGGTTTATACTTTGGCGTTTTGGTTACTGGACCAGCTGTGCTGAAGCCTCAGTAGTGACATGTAAATTGGAGAATGATTAGTGCCCTTAGCATAGGGCTGAGTCACTGTGTGACACTAGGCATTGGGGGATGTTCTTGCCTTTTGACGTATTTTTGAAATCTTCATTGTCAAATCCAGCTGCATCATAAGACATACAATTGTATGTTTTGTGTAAAGCAGCGTTTGAAAATGTTGGATAAGAACACTCCACCAAATTGAACTATAAATTCATAGCACTTGGGGTTCGCACATAAAAGCATATCATTTTCCAACAAGTGGTAGCCAATTAATCCACCATTGGCTAATAGCAAAATGATCTGTGGCTTTTATCATGTCTTTTCCTGAAGGAGGGCAGGGTGACTGCTTCAACCAGCATGACTTGTCTCCACTTGTAACATACTCTCACAACCCTTTGTGTAAAGAAGTGCTTCCTGTTCTCAGTCATAAATGCACTTCCACAGTTTTCATTTGTGTCCTCTGGTTTGTATTTCACAATTCGGTTGAATAAGTGATCTTTTCTGAATAAAATTTAATATGAACTATAATTTAATCAGATACGCTTATTTCTCCTCTGTTCATGATTGTTTTAAGTGTTTTCATTTAGCCTGTCAGTGTAGGTTTAGAAGCCATGAAGCTTTTGTAGTGGTGTACCATGGTGATGAAAAAGTCTTGTATTCTAATCGAGTACTTTCTAGTGTATGGTACAGTTCTAACATAACATCTGTCATTTTAAAGACGTGTTTGTGCATGTTGTATCGCTGTTTGTGTTTTTTATTTGCGTCACATTAAATACAATAATAAAAAGTCAAAATAGACACGAGGCTTTCTTAGAGATCAGTGGTTCCCATCTTATGATTATAATTTTGTCTGCTACTTGTTTGCATTGTTAACTTCTGTTGCTTATTTTTGCAAGGCAGTCATAGATTAAAAAGGGTTATAAGTCACCTGATTTTTTAAGTTACTTCCTTTTCACCAGAAGGCTTGAGATTCACATTCCCTAGACTTCTAGGTATGCATTTCTATTTTGCAAAAGCACAATGCTTGCTGTAACTTACATTAAAAACCATCACGTCCAGTTCTCCTTTGAACACATTCACTTCTGGTTATTGGTGTTAGAATGAGTTAATTGTTCAAATGAACACTGAGTAAGTTTTTTATGAGACATGTTTTGAGGGGGTGGAGTTGGATAAAAGCAAAATGCAAGCACTCTTCTCATGTAATTTTCATCTTCATTCAATGCATTTGACCTGAAACATACAACCTTGTATCCCAAGAAGCTGTTCTCTGGAATCGGAAGTGCAATAAAGAAAGAAGGTAGTAGTGTTGAGCTAGTGGTTAGGGCTCTAAACTAGCGGAAAGGTTGTGGGTTCAAATCCTGGGTGGAGCACTGTAGTACTGTTGAACAGGACATTTTACACAGATTCCTACAGTTCATTGCCCAGTTATAAAAAGGAGCATAAATATAATTTGCTTTGGATAAATGTTGGATCTAAATGTTAATTTAGATTGGAATTTAATGTTAATTGGAATTTGCTTTTGGATCTAAATCTTAATTGTAATAAGGCACCTTTTTATCTCCTTTGTATTGGTCATGCAAAGCACCGTTGTAGGCAGGAGTTTTGATGTGTCTATAAAAGTACAAATGCATGTCTCGAGAACTACAATCAAGCGCATTAGAAGATTGCCCAGAATCACTTCTGCCTTATCTTGCATTGTCTCTATAAGTCAGCACGTGAGGAACTTGCGCAGTGACACCCTCACAGGATTAGCAAATTGGAGCAGAAGTTACTGTGTTTTGTTGTTATGAGTGTGTTTGATCTTGGGTTTGTAGCTCTGAGAGCAGAAGGAGTCCCTCAGTCCTGAGGATGCTATGAAACAGCCAACGGGTGACGCTCAGCTGTCTAGTAGCATCAGCTGTAGGATTAGTGGTTTGCAGTGAATATCTGAATCCTGTTGCTAGCCTTGAAGGCCTGTTGGACTAGTCTTTTTCCAGTGGGAACGGATGCTTTCCACTGATAGAAAAGCCGTCCTGCACCACTTTCAGAATCACAGTGAACAAACGTGCTTGGGCTGGCAGCCCGTTTTGGAGGAAATATGAGTGAGTAATTTACTGCAGTCGGAGTAAGATGCCAGTTTGAGTATTGAATCATGAGCCCAGTTATCGAGGAATGTTAGATGCAATCCAATTTCATTGAAGGGCAATACATTTCAGTACTGGTGTATTTTTAGCTTGAAATAAATGGAGGAATGGCCTTTTTATATTGTATACTCTTCCAGCGCTCAGCTCTTTGACCCTGGATTGAGGGCCTTACACACTTGTCTTTACAGGGCATACTTGCAATAGCCATTAAAAATTTCATAGACTGAGATCCAGATTGCCCTGCAGGAGTTGGCATCGACTAGAGCAGTGATGTTTCTCTAAGTGAAAAGTCCATTATCTACTCGGTTTCAAACTAAAAGAAATCTTGAAATAGCGGAAAGTGAAAGTTGAAGTGCCTGCTTATGAAGTTAAAACGCTTTTCGCACATGCTAATATAATATTTTATGTATTTTGTATCTCGTTGTTTGGCTAACCGTCCTTTTTATCGTGTGAATTAAACTCGTTTGTGGGCACTGTAATAATACAGCTGCTGTTAAGTGTGCAAACAAGAAACCACTTAATTCTGTCAAATCTGCTTTTGCAAAATAGTCACAAGTGTGTGTAAAATATAACTGAGAATAAGAATTTTGTACATGCTGAACCACTGTAATAGAGACACCATGCAGCCGATCCTCAAAAAAGTTGGCATTTCCACTTTTTTGGAAAAGGTGTGGAGAGTTGCATGCTCAAATGCACACATGGCTCAAAAGACATTGAGACTGAGGTTTGTTATAAGATTCCCGCTTGAAATAGGGAGCCCGTTAATGATATGCACTGTCTGAACACATTGTCTGAACCAAAATTTTGTTTTTGTGCTTCTATAAAATCAAATTGGCTACTTTTCATGGAGCAACAAATCATCTTTGTGGCAACTAGAAAGTTGGCGATCTTACAGATTGATCATAAAATAGAGAACAGCTGTGGCTTGAAATGTAAAATTATTTACAAGTAAAGAGCAACCTACAGTAACTTCTAACAAAGGAAGAGGCCAGCTCTAGTGTATGGTGAATGGCCGCACAAGTATGCATGGAAACCTTGGGAGTTGTGGGTCTTCAATTTCATGAGGAAAATAAACGGTCATTTTTGTTCCAAAAATCCTGTTAATAAGATTTTGAAAGGGCATTCTGTAGAAGTAACAAATGGAAAATATGTCAGGAAACAATCCTGCAAATGATCATCTGTGACTAAAACAGAAGCCTTGCTGGGCCGTTTCCTTGGGGAAATCCTGTCACATTTAATTACTTGGTGATGGCCTTAAAGCCACTACAGCAGGTCAAGAGCAAAAGTGCAGCGTAATAGGAAATTCTACTGGCTGGATGTAAAAATTATTCCACCAGTGGAGTCCTGACTTGTACTTGAGGTTTTCAAGTTTAAAACGGCGTAGATGATGGTAGATTATTCTAAACAAGTAATGATGTGTGTCTGCCATTCTTCTGCTCAGCCTAAACGAGATCACAGAAGGCAGCAAACCAAAATCTGTCTAAAAAAGAGGTTATAAGAAAATGTGTTTATATGTGAATTAAATTTGATTTTCGGTAGATATTCTTCCATACTTTACTGATTTTTTTTTAAATAACATAGACAGTTGTTTTGGTTTACTAGTCTTGTGCTATGGATGAGTAACCCCTATTAGTGGAGACCGATTTTTCAGATTGAAGGAAAAGTCTGCCTTGACATCTCCCTTATTCCCTGCTCTGTGCAAGGAGCTGTTCTGTTTTTGTGGTGCTCATTAATTCTATAGGTGGTCCTTATGCCAGTCTCTGACCCTGCATTTCTGTGACTCACCTCCCTAAGCAGCCAATGCTGGGACCTGGTACGCTCTAGCAAACTTGGTGTGATGTGACTTTGAGGCACTGTTCCTCCAGTTAGTGCTATGTCTACTATAAGGCATCATGGAGAATGCACCATGTCAAATGAGTGACAACGCGAAGCACAGGAGGCATTTATTTACCCCAAGGGTTGAGAAAGTATTGAACAAGATAGCCAGCTAAGTTGTTGAAGTTGATACCATGGCTTCTTTAAGGAAATGGCTAGATGAAATCCTTGAAAAATTAAATATTAACTACCAAACAGGCCCGAAGGGCTCAATGGGTTTTTCTTGTGCAAACTTCATGTTCTTATGACTTTAAAGGACTGCTTGTCAAAAGAATGAGTTCAGAGGCCCCTGTCTTCTCCATGCAGTCAAGAGATAATAGTGTTAGGTTAGTGTTGATAACTAATTGGTGATTCCAAATCTCTAAAGGTAGAAGGTTATGATTTCTGAAATGTACTGTGAATGTGAGGTACTTAGAAAATGTTGACTGGAATTTTTATTTTTAAAAAAGTCAAATATTGGAATGTAGACAATTCTTTTGTAAACTCTTTCTTCCTAAAGTTAGTGGAGCAAAATCGTATTTAAAA